CAAGTAAATATGTGTTTTATTTCTTTTCACCAAAAATTCTTTGCTTTCATCCAAAATTCTTTGCTTTCATTCAAAATCCATCTGACTTCAGCAAGATATTCCTTGTTCCATGTCATCTTTTGAATTCTACCTGAATTTCTGGCAGTTGACCGTCAATGTACTGTTGCAATCAGTGTTGGATAATCTTCAGCAAAAATTTCCTTGCATGTGATATAAATGTTATTGTTCTATAATTTAATTTTTCTCTTGGATTGACTTTCTTTGCAATGGTCATAAATCAGGCTTCCTCCAGTCACTTGGGCAGGTTGGAAGGGTCTCCATAGCATTTTAATTATAATATCAGCCACTGAAATAATTAAAGGAATAATTATAGAAAGCTTTCAGTCCAAAACTTTTTAAGAATTTAGCCCTCAATATGCCTCCTTGAAGTTAACCATGTTAAAAGGGAAATAATTTACTTGTGTTATCCTTCATTTTTGCTAATGTTGATTTGCCACTCATCTATGCCAGCCATTGATTGTCTTATCCAGTTATTGCTATGGCAACATTTATATGGTGTTGGCTACCTGCTAGCTATTTATCTAACTGTTCTACATGTAGTCTTGAATTCTCACATGTCAGTTATAATTATGTGTTTCAGTTTATAGTTGAAGGAACGAAAGGCGCCCAAAAGAACCACCCCTCCCCCACCAAACCACAAACTCCCTGTCATCAAGTCTATTCTGAGTCTCCGCAACCCCACAGGATGAGTTAGCCCTGCCCGGGCGTTTCTGAGACTGTGAGCTGTGACCAGAGTAGACCGCTGCCTGTTTCTCCCTGGGAGCTGCTGGTGGTTCAGAATTGCTGGCCTCGGAATTAGCAGCCCGACTAGTACCCACTAAGCCCCAGAAGTCCTATCTGAGGCACGGAATATCTAAATCATATTCCCAACCTTGCAATATAAGTAAGTCATGAAGCTTAGATAAATATGGCATGAGTGAGATAGTGCTACTTTCCTTAAGAATATAAATCCTATGTATAATAAGTGTTTGATATATTTTGTTCTAATTAGGTCTGCATTTCTTCATTCCTCTTTATCCTATCAGAATTTGGACTCAGAACATAGGAATTCTGGTCACAATTTGCCATTTACAGATAGTTTTTTTTCCTAAGTCAGTTAAATTTTGAAGCTTATTATTTAAAAAAAATAG